TGTGTCTGTGTGCGTGTGTCTGTGTGCTTGTGTCTGTGTGCATGTGCGTGTGTCTGTGTCTGTGTCTGTGTGTGTGTGTGTGTGTGTAATTTTACATTCCAAACTGACTCCATCATCCAAGAGACCCTGGCAAATGACTTTCATTCACTCTTCACCTCTTACAGGATGACTTGCTAATCATCCCCATCATCATAATAGTCATAGTTGTCCTGTGAGGAGGAAATCTTCTCGCTAGAGATGAGGTCTACAATGGTGTGCAGAAGAGCTCCCTCTTTGCTTGATTTATTCCACCTGGTAACACCAGGATGGCTAATCTTATATTCTAGAAGTTCATCCAGCTGAGTTCTTAAACTCTGAAAACAATTAAGAGCACATATGTACTGTACACGTAAAATATGAAAATTCAGATTTGTACAGTAGATAGTAAAACGAATGTTATTATTACCTTAAAAGTTATTATTACCTTATGATAGGACAAGGCAGTTCCTTTGAAGGACTTTGATTAAGTGGATGCCCTAATTAACATAAAAAAAATTGCAATGAGGCTAGTGCAGAACACTGAACCTTACACATTATTGCCTTTTGAACTGTACAACCACTAACCTGTACTAAATGTGCAACATGTCGTGAGCAGCGAACCCTTACGAAGTCATCGACATTGATAATGCCATCAACATAGTTCAACTTCCGGCCAAAGAACAGTAATGGGTAGTTGGGAACCATTGAACTGTCATGTATGTAGACCTGAAAATATACAATTAATATACACTTTTAACAATCAAAATAGCTATTCTTGAAGGTATGAGACAGAATAAATAATTATACAATACAAGGTTAAATATTGATGGTTTCAGCATTAGATCTTATAATTCCTGCAATTCTGACAAATATGCATGCCATTAGTCACAATATATGTTTATCAACCCCCTGTAGTGTGATTAACACATATCAAGAAAAAATGTGGCTGAGGGCCTCATGACGGGAATATGCTATCATAGAAAAATTTAGCTGAGGGCAGGGTGACTAGAATGTACCGTCAAGAGAAATTTGGTGTAAGGCTGGGGGTGACATAAATGACTCACCATGAGTGCAAAAAGGCCTTAGAGGTAAATTAGATTCATTAGTCCTTTAGGATGAGAATCTTACATTATATCTACACATAAACAAGGTTGGAATGTGCCATCTGTGAAATACAGCTGAAAGAGTGCCAACCCTTAAGAAGAAACTATTTTCATTCCCAGGATTCAATTCCACAAACTGGGACTGAATATTACAAAAATGTTTTAAAAAAGACACAAATAACAAAATGTTATTTCTTACTGCATGTTTTCTCAGCTTAACCCATTCGCACCAGGTGTCACATATACATGACATGCCCACTGTGAGTTTACTTGTTTAATTGTTTTTACACATAAATGGCTACACTTGTTGCGAGTACTGCCAGTCTCGCCCGTTTACCCTTTTCTTTAATTTACAAAAATATTTACGTTGTCTTATTTTGCTGTTACTAATGTTTATAACATTATAGTATTTATAATGTTTATAATAAAAATAACCATCGATATTCATAGCACTAGTAAAAATACATTTTCCCATCAAATGAAATCAGGTAAGGCAGAGCCATCTATGTGTCGAGACATTTCACAAAAAGTATAAAAAATGAGCACAGCATTTTACCCATATTTTGTTCATTTTTACCTTCGCGAATGGGTTAATTCTACCAGGGCGAGCAGCACCCTTACCAATAGAGCATTTCAACAGTCCACACCAGAGGTCTGACCTGAATGTTGTTTGTTACATTTGAAAGAGCACTGTAATGTCTTTTAGGACTAGTGTGTAATGGTCTCATAAAAGAAAAAATCATCTATCTTTAAAATTCTTTAAAAAATAATAATAAATAATAATAATAATAATAATAATAATAATAATAATAATAATAATAATAATGTTCCAAGATACTTGAGTTCTTTCAAATAAAACAAATAAATTTTCAAATTGGACTATCCATCTGGGGTGTAGGCTTGACCCAATAATGAAAAATCTGCTATTTGAAAAATATGAACATTTCCATGTTCATATTTTATCAAACATATTAGTGTTATGTATCAAAAGAAGACCAAAGTACTTTTCAGTGCATCTTGTCTTAATAAAATAGGAATATGATTTTCAATGTATCACATTTCCAAATAACAAAAATAAAATGTCATTATATACATACATACATATAAATGCATACTCAAATATATGTCCATAAAAACATTAAGATCATTAAGAACCTGTTCTATCATTAAGGTAGTGGACACACAGAGTCACACATTTTATCTGAGAAAAGGAACTGGGTTGGGATATAATATTCGTAGGGGAGATTTATTTGCCGTGGATGAGTATGAAACTACCAGGAATGAAATTTCAACCAGCTGAAATCCCTCTTCTCTGGATAGTATCCACACACACACACACACACACACACACACACACACACACACACACACACACACACACACACACACACACACACACACACACACACACACACACACACACACACACACATATATATGCTTATGCAAAAACTCATACACAACACAAAGTAATGAGAAAGTTATCAATTCATTTTCCTCAAAAAACAACTAAACTCACCTTGGAAGACTTGATCTTTTCTCGGTACATGAGCCAAGGAGATTCATATTCCCTCTCCTTCTCATTTACAGACTTGGGATGTAATGACACTCTGCGCTCATATTGCGTGCGGATGCTACGAGGTTTGTGTGGGTTGGGACGTCCTCTTTGAGGAAGAACACGCGCAACGTTTGGGTACAGACCACTTGTGATGATGGCGCGAACAAGGGCAATATTGTCAGAGTTCCGATTGGCTTCAGCTGTTGATGATCACAAGGTTTCCATTAGATAACTGCTCTATTAGGATAATATCATGAAGACCTGTATTTCTTGATTCCTAAAATAATGGCAGCTTTAAAAAAAAAATAATCATAAAATCAAATGACAATATGTTCTTTATGAAGAAAGAGGTATGAATGGGAACTGGGAACTAAGGTTACCCATCCCATCCATGTCTGGCAGCTGCCAACCCCGCATGAGGCTTGTGGGGTAAAGCTCACAGGACCACAGGTGGATTATGGGACATGCAGCCAGCCAGCCCTTACTATATGGGGCAATGTGGGTGGGGGTGGCAGAGGTGGTGTCCACCCAGAGTGACTGCCTGGGGTTAAATCTCAGGCGGGCTGTCAGGATGGGGACTTGGAATGTCCACTCTTTGCAACAAGATGATCAGTTGTCACTACTGTTGAGGGAGCAGAAGCAGTTGAGAGTTAAGGTGGCTGCTCTCTCAGAAGTGAGATGACATGGTAGCAGTATGATTTGTGTGAGTAGCTACACCTATTACTGGTAGGGCTGCAGTGATGATCACCATCTCCAGGGAGTAGCCATAGCCATCTCCAGAAGACTTCAGCCCTCATTTATAGAGGTCACTCCAGTCAATGAGCATATAATGGTATTGAGACTGAGGCTTACATTTGGCTTCATGTCTCTTATTGCTGTGTATGCTTCTACTGATGTTATAAACTTGATGTGAAAGAGATGTTTTACAACAAACTTGCAATTGTGACAGGCAGCTGTTCTCAGCAAGATACTCGCATTGTTCTGGGTGACTTTAATGTGGTATCTAGCTGCGATCAAGCTTGCTGTAAGATGTCTGTCTGTCCTCATGGCTTGCGAGCTAATCCTGCATATCACAGGAGACAGTGGAAGCCACAGATGCTTGTCATATGGCTCAACTGGGGATTGCAACTTACATCTTTCCCTGGAGGCACAGGACTAAGTCACTGCTGAGAAGAGACAAAGAACAGGAATCTTGCAGAAGAGGTCAAAAGCCATTTCCTAATAAATGACCTTCATCCCGCCTACCAAGCCCTGAGAAAGCTGAACTCCAAGCCCTCCTCAAAGATGACTGCAGTCCACTCAGCAAGTGGCCAGATCATCTCAGATCCTGTTGGGATGCAGGAACATTGTGCTAAATATTTTGAGCAGTTGTACCAGGTTGATCCACCAACAATCAATTTGGATGCAGGTAGTGTTGAGATTCCTTTACCAGACCCACCCATTAGCAAGGATCCATCCTCCCTGACTGAAATCTGAGAGGTGTTCTCAAGCTGAAGAGTGGTAAAGCAGCATCCCAGTTGAATTGTTAAAGGCTAGTGGAGAACCTATGGTGAGGGGTTTGCATGCTGTCCTGTTTGCCTTCCGGCAGACCGGTATCATTCCCTCTGACCTGCTGAGGCACCAGAGGCCGGAGCAATTTGGATTCACTCCAGGACTTTGGGGGCCTGCTAGAAGTTCCTTTTCAGTCGGTACATGCTTGCCGTGAGGACACTGTGGTCACAGAGAACTTTATATACTTTGGTAGTGCAGTTCATGACCAGGAAGTCAGTAGACGAATTGGCAACAAGGGTCATGAAATCTCTCAACGAGAGTATTAGGAGATGCCAGTACCTGTGCAGAAGGACCAAGCTATGTGTCTTCAAGGCCCTGATACTGTCATGAAGCCTGGACGCTATTTCGTCCCTTGGAATCTTGTCTTGATGCCTTTTGAAAGAGGTCCTTTCACTGGATCATGGGGTACAGTTGCAGGACAATGTGACCAACCAACGGTAACACTGTGAGACGAGTACAGAACCTGTCACTTGCACAATCTGCATTAGCCAACCAAGGCTATACAGCCATCCCACAGGATGATCATGCCCACCAGGTTGTCTCTGTTTGAGACAATCCTGGGTGGAGGAGGCCTGTGGAACAACCTAGGAAGTTGTGGCTTGGGCACACTGATCAAACCTATCATGAAGGGACCCTCGTAGGTGGAAATGAAGGGTGGATGTGGCTATGTGCCCCCGTCAGCATTAGTTCCCCAATAATGATGATGATGATGATGATGATGATGATGATGATGATGATGATGATGATGATGATGATGATGATGATGATGA